AATGCTTCTCCGCCTTACAAAATAAAAACTTATGGCTCTTGAACCAATGCATTTTGCCGCGAATCTCTTGGACCCCTGTTTCCTGGGAGAGCACCTTAACAATGAACACATAGCCGCTATGGAATTTATCAACAATATCACCAACAATCATCCTCAGTTTGTCAATAATAAGCCATTTTACAGATGTGAAATTATTGCGCCAAATCGGGTTTATGGGCTCTGGACTACTTTTGGATGTCAGTTAAAAATGTAGACTATCTAAGTTGGTGGCAAGCAATGTGTAAAATACTCAGTTGAAATATTTAGTTGTTGCTCTGCTGTCTTTACCGACGTCATATGCAGCCACAGAGAGAAGTTTCAGTACTTACTGTTTTATCCATACTAAAAAAGGAATCGCTTAACTGCACAAAAAACCGGTAAGATATTGTTCGTAGCTCATAACAATAGAATTATTACTACAAAACCAAAAGTGGATATGGAGCACGATATTCAACAACAAGAAACTCCTCCAGAACCACTAGAACCTGTAGAGGTAGAAGTCCATCCTTCAGAATCAGAACCAGATGATACATCAAATATATCTGGTTTGGAAATAGAAACTGAAGAAGACAGTACTACTACTACTACTACTATAATACTCTATGAAGATGGGACCAGGTCGACGCCTGATATTCCGGAATAGAATAATTCAGTTATTTGTGTTTTACGTTTTAGAGATTTATATTTCGTGCTTTTTTTTTTTTTTTTTTTATTTTTTAGATTCATAGTCATAGTTCGTGGTTTATGCACAAAATTCAAATGTTACCAAATGATTTTTGTTATGGGTTATGTTTATGACTTTTATGGGTTATGTATTCTTTATTAAAATATAACAACTAATACCATTATGATCGAAAAAAATGGCGTCAGTTGGCTGGAAATGACGATCGATGACATTTCCCATATAGATTTATATAAAATGACAGCGATCTTCATTTCATAGCCATCGCTGACGCGTTTTATTCGATCATACGGTATTATGTTTATTGTTTTCCACTTACATGTTGGTATCAAATGTCTATCTAATTTATTCCTTTGACAAAAATATGTAAAAATTGTAAAATTCCTAATATTTCATAAATTTCCAGAAAGTTTCAGAGATTTCCTGCAACAATCAAACATTTCTGAAATATTAACATCCCTATAATATGTCTAAGATCATTATGAATGAATTTATGATCTAAAAGATACATTTGATGTTACAAAATAGAGGTGCTTTAAAACAAAACCAACTAAGTAAAGTTTGGTGTTAAATTAAAGCAGCAGGTGGTAATTGGGTTAAAACAGTAACATTTTTACTGCAAATTTGAGGTTGTCGAACTCTCTTGGCTTCGCCAATGGCCAGTCGTGGTTTCACGTTATCAGCATTCGGTTCTTTTTGAAGTGTGCAGCGAAAATTATTGCAGAAGAATCGGTTACCGATATGCATCAGAGTGATAAATAACAAAGAAAGGCTTTTCTCAGGGGATAGGTGGCCAGTTAGGGCGCCTGTAAAGGAAGACTCTCATCAATATTGCCAGAATAGAAATTTTCGAGCCAATTTCTTCAACGGAGCCTTAAAAACCTTCATATTCCTTCAGCTTCAAAAAAAATCAAGGATCTTTGAAAATCACCAAATTTCGTGTATTTTTCCTATTTTATAATTAGGAGAAAATTTTTAAAAACTTATTTCTAGTGAATTTTTTGGACACCAATGTATTTAAATGAAACTGTTTATTAAAATACCACGATCAAAATGCTGTAGATAGTTCGACGAGTAGTATTGTAAAATTATGTTTCAAAAATGGAATTACTCCCTGTGACTGCTTGAACCGAGAATAAATAATCGTGCAAGACGACATGATCAGCTGACTTATTATACCGGGTGCGTCTCAAAGTGGCTCACCCTATAACTTTTATTTTTAGTTGAAAAACGAGATTTGGTATGTGTTTATATGACATAAATTAGGATTGATTGACGTATTCATTTTGTTTCAGTCACTTCCGGTTTCACGGAAATGGCTTCTAACTTTATTTTAAATAGCACCCCAGTATTTTTGCTTTATTCGATAGAATGTCACTCTGAATAGAATGACATATCATGTATCAACTTTTGATATGTTCACACTTCTGTATATTCCTGTAATCGTATACTTCTTTATCAGTCTGAGCCGGGCCTGCAGAAGCGTATCGAAACCACAAGGAACTTTCGTAATTATTGAAATTTCGCACGCATGCAATCCCCATTCAGCCTATCATTAGAAAACTAGTATTTACATTGTTTTCTATCAACTTCAATATATACAACTACCTAAGTACCAAATATGATGGAAAAAAACGGCGTCAAAGACGGCTTGACAATCGATGATAATTTTAGTAGGGAAAAACGATGATGATGACCGCTGCCTTTTTAGTCTATCTATAATTATTATTATAGATAGATTAAAAAATTTTCTATATAGAAAGTAAATCCACGATAATTTGTATATTAGATGTATAAAATATAAAATGCTATATTGTTTTATTAGAAGTAAAAATGACACTTTTTCTAGCGAGACTGTACGTTTGACATACAGCCGAGGGTACAGAAAATAATTTTACTCCGAATAGAACATGCTATATTTTCAAACGCCACAAATAATCTTTTTAAACAATTTCAAACGTTCCTTGTATATCCTTGTTTCTTAGCTAATTGTATATCGCGAAACTATGGTTACGCTCGTTGAATTTGACACTTTATATCAGTTTAATAAAATATTTTCGTGCTTTTATAAAATAAATAGTTATTAACGTAAATAAGGCCGATAAACAGCAAATAACGGCCGGGCTGAAGTTTGTGATCCGGGGCGATAGCCGAGGATCATAAGCAGACAAGGCCGTTATTTGTTATCGGCCATGTTGCGTTCTAGATTTTTCGTCATACTGCAGATTTTTAGAGCAATAAGCACTACTGTTAATAACAAATTTTTATTGAACAATAACACAAGCAAGGATAAAAAATACATAATGTCTTATACTAAAATTCATTTTTCATGATAATGAACTTGGAAATTAAAAGTGCACTTGTTGTTCTTAGAAATCTGTAATCCTTCCCAGGGATTTACAGATTTTATATAAGAAGATGATGCTACTGAAGAATGGTAAATATTTGTATCCACTAAAGACACATTATTTTTGGAGCTATCATGAAGAAGTTGATTTGTTATTTTTCATTCTTTTGGAAACTGATTTTTCTATTTAAGTTTCTGCCACTGTTGAAGACTCCCATCCTCATAGCTCCTTTAGCGATAGTAAATCACTACCATTTTCGGCGAGCATGGTTGCTGATGATCTACGAAATAAATGCCCTGTATAACGTTCTGGATTCTCCAAGTTCAAAATTTTTGCAATTTTCTGCGGTACGCTCCCGATGGTATGTATACCGACGATTTGCTTAACACACTTGCCTTTCTTGTAACCAATGAAAGATTTTGGATTGTCAAAGTTACGAGGACGCAGGTTGATGTATTTTTGTATAAACCATAGGCATCAAGCGGAAGGCCCGTTTTTGGAATAAGAAATTTTCTATCTTTCTTATTTTTTGGTATTTCTTAATGGAGACAAGTCTTTTTCTCCAGATCTTCAACGAAATCATCAGCTGTGGTGGCCAAAGCTCGCTGCGCCTACAAGCTCCAAGAATGCCAAGCACCAATACAATTTTTTCCAGTAACCAGGTGTAATCATCGGCATCAAGTAGAAAATTGTTTATGTCATTCTCCGACAGAACTTTGGCTTTTTTGGTGAATAACCTTCGTTTTTGCGCCTCAGAAACATGAACAGTTTACCAATTCTATGAACAAATATAATTTAGATGAGTATGATTAAATATCGAAGAATATAATGGCTTTTTACCTTGATATGTCGATGTTTTCATATACTCTCAACGCAAGCTTCAGCATGGTTATCTTTGTCCACAGTGATGTAGTAGAATACATTTCAGACATTCTTTTAGCATAAGCTAGCAATACCGCTTCATTTACGCTGTTTATACTTCTATCCTGCCGCCACTTCAAAAATTGTCATATTCCTGCTGATATCTCTCTCTGGTTATAGTCGGAAGTAAATTTTGAGTAGCCACAGCCGCTTCCTCCTGTATTTCCAACGGAATTTCACGCGACATCTCGCTATGGTCTATTTTCCCAATTTTCGAAAAGTCCAGCTGACAATAAATAGTCATTATTGCAGGTGACAGACGTTACGATTACCTTAGAAACTTAACGGCCGCCGGCCGTTATGATAACGTCCGGCGGACGTTATATGTATCTTTTCCATTCTGATTTTGCTTATGTTATAATAATATAGCAATATGAGTATGACGAAAAGTACGTGAAGTGCTTTGCTTTATGCCTAGGCGTTAAAATGACTTTTATATTGTAAATCACGTAGCAAAAATTGTACTTTTGCTGACGTTTTAGCAGAAAAAATGAATATTGTTTAATATTTTTATTGAATAATTTTCATGCAATATTATATTTGTCAAATTTCTATTTTTTTATGTCTTTCAAATTATCCGATTTTTTTACGGTTTCTCTTCGAAAATTAGCGTCGTGGAAACCCATCCTATGGCCAATTAGTACCGAAAGCCGCACCATTCGTTTCGAGTGTCGCACGTAAGAAGAGAACCACGAGACAACGAAATAAGCGAAAGTGATGGTGATATTTTAGCTCGAGGATACGCGTATGCTGGTACCATGGGCCCGCTTTCATTGCCACGGACTTTAACGCGAAAGACGAAAAAAAAATCAGCTGATGGGCATGTACGGATTACATGTTTCTTTGACTGTATTAGATATTCAAAGGATTTGGTCTCAAGAAGTTGGATTCTTTTCTCAATCATCTCAATTGTATATTGTCAAACAAATATCGTAACTTACCAGTATGTTCTCGCTAAAGTTTATAAATAATCTTATTAAAATATCTGTATTATATCCTCTTTGTTTCAGAATCCTGATGCTTGGGTATCAGTACACAACCTCCAGTCCCAAGGAGGAGGTATTCTGGACCCAGACGACAGACTCAGCGATGTAGCTGACGATAGGGAACAAATTCTAGCAAGCTTTGAAGATGGTGAAGGTTCCCACGTCCACCACGGCGGAGGAGATGGCGCTAGCGGCAGCTCGGTGGGCACAGGCAGTCCTGACATCTTCAACGTAAGTCTATATATCTAAAAATAGCTAATAATTTATCCCCTTTGTTCTATACAAATATATTGCAAACATGCCTCTTTTAAAGGACGGCGAACACAAATACGGACCCTCATACCCTCGCACAGACATCGAAGTGACAGGAGAACAGATAGCGTCGGGAGTACCCTCGCTCCAAGTGCGCAGAGGCAGCGAACCTACCCTCAACCAACTACCTGTAGGTCCTCCCGCTCCATCAGACCACACAAAGCGATGGAGTGCGGCTCCCCTTATTTTGGAGCCGCCCAGTTCAGGCTATGCTAGTCCAGACTGGATGGAGGACTGTGGAGATGATAATGAGGGAGGTACGGGGTTCAGGAGAGTGGCTAGGGACGGAAGTAATAGGTTGTCGATGCAGTTCCTGGGAGACGGACCTGGGTAAGACACGGAAAACTTAATTTTGTCGAGTTGTTGGGAGGCATTAATAATAAGGCACGATAAACGCCTTCTGGGACGGATGTTGGTCATTTTCTATGCTTATTAGAACATAATTATAATTAACTCTATATGGGCATTAATTTTTATTTTTATTATAATTTATATTTTTTCATTTTATTGATTTTATGGAAAGCACTGTTCGTTAAAATATTGTATCCTATGTTATATGGTTTGTTTCTCTCTACAATTTTCTGTCTCATAATGTACCGTTTGTGTCGAGGAAGAGTTCATAGTTTCATGGTTGTCGATTTTCCGAAAATCAGTACATGCATATTATTTTGTATATTTTTCATTTATTGATTTTATGGAAAGCACTGTTCATTAAAATGTTGCATCCTATGTTATAGAGCTACTTTCTCTACAATTTCTGTCTCTGATAGTACCGTTTGTCTCCAGAAGGAGTTCATAGTTTCATAGTTGTCGATTTTCAGAAGAAATCAGTACATGTATATTATTTCGTATATTTTTCATTTTATTGATTTTTATAATGGAACAGTATTAATGCTTACTTGAAGGGGTATTAATAGAAAAAACTTAATTTCGTCTAGTTGTTGGGGTATATAATATAATATAATATAATAAGGCATGATAAATGCCTTCCCGGATTGATATTAGTCACTTGAAGGTACATTAATAATGTCTCATTATTAGCTAGTAGCTACCCTCTGAATTCTAATAATTATTGTATTCGATCAAAAAAAAATATTCTCTTGATCTTGGGGTATAATAAGATATTTTTAATGCCAATTCTTGATCATATAAAATTACCATGTGTCAGTCATTCATCATGATCTATGGTTAATAGAACATTATTAAAGTCCACATACAAGGGCATTAATAATGTGTATCTATTCATGCCTCTTTGAAGCATAATCATTTTATTTGGTCACAAAATAAATTAGTCTTGCTCTTGTGGTATTAATAACGAAACAAATATTAATGCCGATTTATGATCATGATAGAATTATCATATTTCAAACATTAATTATGGCCTATGGTTAATAGAGTTTGATTTGCCCTGTTACGGTATTAACAAGACACATTATTAATGCCAACCCATAAGGGCATAATAATGTCTCAATATTAATGACTCTCTACGGCAAAATAACTTTATTGAATTAAAGAAATTGTGGGCATCATTGGGGCACGAATGAATTTATTATTAATACCTATTTGTGCCTATTCTATGTCCATCTGAAGCATAATTAGACATAGACTTTCTTTAGACATTGGTTTTGACTGTTTAGGATACTGTTTAGAATAGCAGGACATTATTAATGCCCATTTAGGCAGCATTAATAATAATTTTCCACATTAGTAATGTGAAATATACAGATAAAATACACAATTCTGAACAGTCGGTAGAAAATTACTGATGACATTTAACGAGGCATTAATCATGTTACCTTATTAATGCCTCTTTCGTAGCTAATTAATAGTAAATATTAACAATTATTTTGTCTTATTAGTTACAGATGGGCAGAAGCTGCAGAAAGAGCAGCTAATACCAGATCTCACGCCAGCACTTCACTACCTAGAGAAACCAGAAGAAAGGAACCACTGGGTCAAGCTAACAACAGTCCAATGCCTTGGAGTGCCGATAAAACAGAGCTCATTGTGATTAGAAATCAACCTGGACATTTAGGTAAGATAACTGCTAATGTTTTTATTAATTTTAAGTATTTAATATATTTCATTAAATTGTTAGGTATACACGTAGTACCTGACTATGATGGTTCGGGGAAAGACCGCGGATTGCTTGTTCAAGGTATTGAACCAGGAGGTAGAATAGATAGAGATGGTAGACTAGCTATTTATGATAGAATAGTAGAAATCAACGGCCAAAATTTAATAAACATTTCATTTCAAGGTACAAAAGTCTACTGCAGGATTATTCTGAAAAACTAACAAAATAACTTTCAGGGTACAGAAATATTTAAGTGTCTCTTATATCTCAGGGCTAAGACTAAAAGTTATTAAGGCTTCCGGATTAGAAAGCTTAAGAAAACCTCTTTATTCCCGCTTTCCCGATGACAAAGAAAACGCTGGAATGGTGGAATGTGAACAAAAACGTAAGATATAAGTATTTTAAACAAAATTTGGTTTATTTTGAACCTTTTTTTGGATTTGCAGAGAGTACAAACACTAAAGTAGCTACAGTATCGCCAACCAAAAAAGTGCCAGCTGTTTCAAAGAATTTGAAAGGTTTACTGACAGCTAATACAAGGAAAATTGGTAAAAAGATCGATATAGAGTTGATAAAGGGTCCCAGAGGGCTTGGGTTCAGTATTACAACCAGGGATAACCCTGCAGGTGGTAATTGTCCTATTTACATCAAAAATATCATTCCTGAGGTAAGAATTTTTCGAAAAAAATTTTTTTTATATTTACATAATATATTCTGTATGGTCGAAAAAAACGTCTGAATTGGTAGAATTATTAATTTTGGCGGGGCCAACCTCTAGCCGTAACAAGGCCAGCTGTCAGTAAGCGGCATTAAAAAATAAAGAAGAGTACCGGCTAGACCTCGGAAAAATTATCCTCGATTGTCATTCGCCAGCCTTCTTTGACGCCGTTTTTTTTTTTCAATCATACGGTATTTTCAATCAAATGCACATTTTTGCCCATGTGACATCACAGCCGGTTGATATCTGCGGTTCTCAAAATGTTCTTCAAAGATACGCACATAGTGCACACATAATTTTTTTTTAATTGTGATCAATCTTTATACAATTTTCTCTAAATCTACGTTATAATAGGGGGCAGCTGTCGAAGATGGCCGCTTAAAAATAGGGGACAGGCTGCTACAAGTGAACGAGGAAGAAATGACAGGAAAAACACAGGCTGAAGCGGTGGCCATTTTGCGAAAAGTACCTCCAGGTAGTAAAGTAAAAATCGTAGTGTCTAGGCAAGAAGATGTCGCAGCCAATGGCAATTCGTTGCCACGTGTCATTGTAAGTACAGAATTTTCATTTTTTTTGAGCTTTAAATTTGAGGTTATGTGTGCTAGTTGTAGTGTTATTGTAGCGTTCATATTTGCTTGAAAATTTCATAGAAAATATAATAAATCATTTTGATGAGAACATTTTGTATATTAATGAGTATTGTTATTGTTTAATTTTAGTTTTAGTTAAACACATTAGGACACCTTATAGCACTAAAAACTGCGTTTTTTTTCAGGTTGTGATTCCTCATCAAAAAATATGTTAAAATTTAAAAAAAAAAATATTTTTTTTAATATTATCTTAAATGTCCTGTAGCTGACTTTCTTGAAATTTGTCAGTATTATTAATTTATAGTAATAATGGACTAATTTAAGGTTAATTAAATTAAAATTATTAATTTCAGTGGCGTGGCGACCTTATCGAAAATAATGGGAAAAATATGTACCTCGCTGACTTTTCTTGCATTTTTTATATTTTTTTAGATTAAATTACTAAAAGTTCAACTTTTTTTGCTTATACCATAAGCCTATCTAGAATTGTTTTCGAGAGAAAAAATAAAACAAAATCATTGCAGATCTCTGGACTCCATTAAAAAAACTTTAACAAATTAAATGTCAATTTGCAACCAGAGTAAAGTATTAATTAAATTAATTGATGTTCAGTGCGACCTACAGTAAAAACATAAAGTTTTAACATCCTGGATCTTTAAAGCTATCCATTTTTTCATGGGTCAATGTTTAAAAGAACTTTTTAACGAAGAATCGCTCCCTAAAATTGAGTCCATGCATTTTTTGAACACCCTGTATAATATTTATTGCTTTTCGCTATCTTATCTAACGGCCAATTAATTCATTAGTTCACTATTTCTAACATATTTTATATAATTACTGACTAGTGAAAAGCTGTTTAATTATTTTTCATGTTTTTTTTTTGTTGTCTGAGACCTATCGCACGCTGTACAGGTGTTCCATTTTACTGTGTTTTACCTCGTTTATAAGTAAAAATACAAAGATGCGGTTTTCACATTACTCTGCTATTTTTTTATCAAACTAAAGATACTACACACAGATTTGTCCAAGTCCTCTTAGGTCCTAAATCCCTAGGACGAAAAAATAAAAAATCCCGTAGGACGAATTTGAAGTTTACGTATTTCAAGAATGACAGCTCCCAGTGAAAAACTAGTTACTCCACTGAATTCTACGTGAAAAACTCTATGGGCCACAGTTTTTACCTTTTGGATAAGTTATGAGATAACCAAGATACAAAGAGGGTAGAAAAATGCAACATTTTTTAAATTCTTCTTGTATTTCAGGAACTAAGAAGGTTGGGACAAATCTGTGTAGCATCTTTAATAATAATAGCTCCCGTATATAGATAGCGTTTAACGCCTTGGGAGTAGCAAGGTACAGCTTGCCATACTAGAACCGTTCAGTATACAAGGAAGGTAATGTGGCTAGCACTACGCTTCAACCGCCTATTATTACCTCAGGATTGTGAATCCCAAGTGCTCATTTAAGGCTGAGTCGACCTAGGTACCCAAACTATTTTTATTTTAATAAAAATAGTCGGCTGGTGAAATGCCGGGTGTAGGATTCGAACCCACAACCTTGAGATTGGTAGACGAGAGGCTATACCTCTACGCCACCGGGCATCTTTACTTTCATAAAAATGTGAAAACCGCATCTTTGTATCTCTACTCACACACCTAAATAGGACACCCTGTACAACTAACTATTTTTAAAGCATCTTACTAAGTTCCACAATTATCTCACTACAATTCCAGTCCTTACACAATGTCTTAACACATTTATACACTCTGCATAAAAGCCAATTAACAAGAAATAATAAAAAATCAAATACAAAACGCAACCTAAACAAAAATAAATTAATTAATAAAAAGAAAAATCACTAATCATTAGTTACCGATATTCGTTTTGTTTGCTATCTCTCTCTGGCTCTAGGGTATAGAAGAGACGGAAGAAAAAGACGAACCGATGACGTTTAATGGTACCGGAACCATGGACACGCCCCCAAACATTCCTCCGTTACCACAGAGCCATCTGCAGGCGTTGCACCAAAACAGGACACCAGAACGACTGGTTGCTTCTTCTGTAGCCAAAATCGTGTCACAGTTTCAAGAAGCAGCGAACAACAGCCATGTAATTGTCATTTTATTTACCTTATTTCTCCACTAGAGGGCGTTGATTTTGAATAATTTTTCGACTGTTTAAAAATTATTTAGAATCGTGACTCAGAGTAGATAGAAATACTGTACTCACTTTTATTCACCGATTTTGTCACAGTTTTGTTGCAATTTCACTGTCATGTTTGCTCTGTTATTTGTCAATTTGTTTCATTGAATAAAAAAAATATGGAAGGAGTATAGTAATAAAATAGAAAAAGACCTAGAAGGGATTCAACTATGGCACAATATCTTTCCAGATCTATATTCGGTCATTACTATATGAATATAAAAAGAATGTTTGACTCTCTCCATACTTAGTTTTTTTATTCAATGATTCATGTGATTATTCCAGTAGATTGAATTATTATGGTTGTTTTTTAGCCTCCAGAAAAATTAGATGGTTCTATGGTATTCCCATGGAAGCATAGAGAAATTCTTACCCTCAACATTCCAGTGCACGATTCTGAGAAGGCGGGGCTTGGAATTAGCGTAAAAGGCAAAACAAGTGAATCGGGTATGTTTTTTGTTTTTTTTTATAAATCTGTATTTTAAACAAAAATGTGTTCTGTTAGGGATGGGTGTTCATATTTAAAAGTATCGATATTTTGGAGAATATCAATACGATTATCTCTAACTATACAGAAGCGACACGGGCGATTTCAAGTTGACGGAAAAAAATCATAAAAATATAGTCTTTATTTAAAGTATTCTGGTCTATAGTGTTAACATTAGGAATAATTACGTTAGAATCTATATACTGTGATGTTATTCACTCCCTAGGTGATCTTGGCATATTCATCAAAAGCGTTATCAACGGTGGAGCGGCTTCCAGAGACAAAAGGCTGAAGACCAACGATCAACTGTTGAACGTGAACGGCATTTCCTTATTGCAACAGTCAAACAGCGACGCCATGGAGACGCTGAGGAAAGCTATGCTTCACACTGAAGGCCCCGTGCCTGGCAACATAACCTTGACTATAGCCAGGAGAGCGTCCTCTCCTGGTGCTAGTAGGAACAGGTCCAACGAGAGCTTGCTCAATAATTCACAGGTAAATTTTTCAAAAAAAATTATTTCTAGAATTCGAATTCGTCAAATACAGGGTGGTCCAAACTGTATTCTGGAATACTATTCTGCAGATAAAAATAAATAAAAAACTTCGTATATATGTATGGCCTAAATTGCTTAGTTTCGGATATACAGAGTGTATAAATTTCTCTTTATTTAGATTTTTTTCAAATAATTTCTGAAGTAACGTCAATATTTGGATAAAAATTGGTGTCTGGGAGTTTTTTGACATGAGAAATTTGATTTTGGTGTCAATATAACTCCTATTTGTAGGGGGCGCCACGTACATGTGTTTTGACTGTATTGAAGAGTAATAACTTTTCGTCCGTACCTGTATAAAACGTATATACATTTCCGTGATTTTTTTCGTAAAAAATGTCTCTTGGTAGAAATCGCTACGAGCAACCGTTCTCAAGATATTTAGAATGGAAATAGTCAATACATTTCATTATTGACAAAAAATAAACCTGTTGAGTAGATAATTATTTGGCTGAAACATATACATATCAAATATGTACGGATTATCGCCTATCCCTGCAATGTGTTGGAGTTGAAGCCGAGTTAGAGACAACCAGATAATCGGTCCATGTATATTTCACATAAGTTCGTCTGTTAGGCAGATACTGGCGCAACAGCGCAACTCCAAAATTCCGAATATCGATTAGCCCTTACTCTGAGGATTAGCCAGTTGTCGAGCGGGAACGCAAACGAAAGCCGTACGAATCAACAGCTGGTGCTAGCTCTAGTCTCTTATTGGTCTAGTTTGAGCACAGCTAACTGAATGACTTATGCAAATTCCTTCAGAAGATTTATATATCCATTTCACCGGCTTGGCTTCACAGAATGCAGTTTGGAGTCGATATACTTTAGTTAATATATATATGGTCTGAAATGACAAATTTCGAAATTTTTTATTTTTTTAAATTAATCATAAATTTTTCTTCGAAAAAGTGATGATAAAACAGTTTTTGTTGAACTTTTGGCACAAAAACATTTCAATTTTATGATTTCAGTTTAATAACTATTTAGTCAACATGTTTAATTTATGTCAACGATGACAGGTATTGATAATTTTGATTCCAAATATCTCGATAACCATTACGCGTAGCGATTTTTAACAAGAGACCTTTTTACATAAAAAAAACTCGTAACTGTATATTTTTTACTCAGTGGTTTATACAAGTATGGACGAAAGTTATTCAGTTCAAATAATAGCCGGGTGGCGCAAATGGGAACATATTGACATGAAAGTCAAATTTCTCATGTCAGAAAAAAATCCTAGATACCAATTTTCATCCAAATATTATTGACGTTACTTCATAAATTATTAAGAACATCAGCGCGAAATAAAATCAAACTTCTACACCCTGTGTTTCCGAAATTAAGCATTTAGGACATACGAACTTTTACTTATTTTATCTGCAGGATATACCAAAAGTTCAGACTGGACCACCTGTAATGTCATAAGAAGGGATTGACAGTGCTACTTTATTAATGAAATTAATTTTTTATATAGATCATTTTTTTTTTTTTTTTTTTTTTTTTTTTTTTTTTTTTTTTTTTTTTTTTTTTTTTTTTTTTTTTTTTTTTTTTTTTTTTTTTTTTTTTTTTTTTTTTTTTTTTTTTTTTTTTTTTTTTTTTTTTTTTTTTTTTTTTTTTTTTTTTTTTTTTTTTTTTTTTTTTTTTTTTTTTTTTTTTTTTTTTTTTTTTTTTTTTTTTTTTTTTTTTTTTTTTTTTTTTTTTTTTTTTTTTTTTTTTTTTTTTTTTTTTTTTTTTTTTTTTTTTTTTTTTTTTTTTTTTTTTTTTTTTTTTTTTTTTTTTTTTTTTTTTTTTTTTTTTTTTTTTTTTTTTTTTTTTTTTTTTTTTTTTTTTTTTTTTTTTTTTTTTTTTTTTTTTTTTTTTTTTTTTTTTTTTTTTTTTTTTTTTTTTTTTTTTTTTTTTTTTTTTTTTTTTTTTTTTTTTTTTTTTTTTTTTTTTTTTTTTTTTTTTTTTTTTTTTTTTTTTTTTTTTTTTTTTTTTTTTTTTTTTTTTTTTTTTTTTTTTTTTTTTTTTTTTTTTTTTTTTTTTTTTTTTTTTTTTTTTTTTTTTTTTTTTTTTTTTTTTTTTTTTTTTTTTTTTTTTTTTTTTTTTTTTTTTTTTTTTTTTTTTTTTTTTTTTTTTTTTTTTTTTTTTTTTTTTTTTTTTTTTTTTTTTTTTTTTTTTTTTTTTTTTTTTTTTTTTTTTTTTTTTTTTTTTTTTTTTTTTTTTTTTTTTTTTTTTTTTTTTTTTTTTTTTTTTTTTTTTTTTTTTTTTTTTTTTTTTTTTTTTTTTTTTTTTTTTTTTTTTTTTTTTTTTTTTTTTTTTTTTTTTTTTTTTTTTTTTTTTTTTTTTTTTTTTTTTTTTTTTTTTTTTTTTTTTTTTTTTTTTTTTTTTTTTTTTTTTTTTTTTTTTTTTTTTTTTTTTTTTTTTTTTTTTTTTTTTTTTTTTTTTTTTTTTTTTTTTTTTTTTTTTTTTTTTTTTTTTTTTTTTTTTTTTTTTTTTTTTTTTTTTTTTTTTTTTTTTTTTTTTTTTTTTTTTTTTTTTTTTTTTTTTTTTTTTTTTTTTTTTTTTTTTTTTTTTTTTTTTTTTTTTTTTTTTTTTTTTTTTTTTTTTTTTTTTTTTTTTTTTTTTTTTTTTTTTTTTTTTTTTTTTTTTTTTTTTTTTTTTTTTTTTTTTTTTTTTTTTTTTTTTTTTTTTTTTTTTTTTTTTTTTTTTTTTTTTTTTTTTTTTTTTTTTTTTTTTTTTTTTTTTTTTTTTTTTTTTTTTTTTTTTTTTTTTTTTTTTTTTTTTTTTTTTTTTTTTTTTTTTTTTTTTTTTTTTTTTTTTTTTTTTTTTTTTTTTTTTTTTTTTTTTTTTTTTTTTTTTTTTTTTTTTTTTTTTTTTTTTTTTTTTTTTTTTTTTTTTTTTTTTTTTTTTTTTTTTTTTTTTTTTTTTTTTTTTTTTTTTTTTTTTTTTTTTTTTTTTTTTTTTTTTTTTTTTTTTTTTTTTTTTTTTTTTTTTTTTTTTTTTTTTTTTTTTTTTTTTTTTTTTTTTTTTTTTTTTTTTTTTTTTTTTTTTTTTTTTTTTTTTTTTTTTTTTTTTTTTTTTTTTTTTTTTTTTTTTTTTTTTTTTTTTTTTTTTTTTTTTTTTTTTTTTTTTTTTTTTTTTTTTTTTTTTTTTTTTTTTTTTTTTTTTTTTTTTTTTTTTTTTTTTTTTTTTTTTTTTTTTTTTTTTTTTTTTTTTTTTTTTTTTTTTTTTTTTTTTTTTTTTTTTTTTTTTTTTTTTTTTTTTTTTTTTTTTTTTTTTTTTTTTTTTTTTTTTTTTTTTTTTTTTTTTTTTTTTTTTTTTTTTTTTTTTTTTTTTTTTTTTTTTTTTTTTTTTTTT